AGACAGAGACAGAGACAGAGACAGAGACAGAGACAGAGACAGAGACAGAGACAGAGACAGAGACAGAGACAGAGACAGAGACAGCCAGCCAGCCAGGCAGGCAGGCAGACAGACAGACAGAACAGAACAGAACAGAACAGAACAGACCAGAGCAGAGCAGAGCAGAGCAGAACAGACCAGAGCAGAACAGAGCAGAGCAGAACAGAACAAGACAAGACAAGACAAGACAGACAGACAGACAGACAGACCCGACAGACAGACAGACCAGACCAGACCAGACCCGACCCGACCCGACCCGACCGGACCCGACCCGACCCGACCGGACCGGACCCGACCGGACCGGACCGGACCCGACCGGACCGGACCCGACCGGACCGACCGGACGGGACCGACCGGACCGACCGACCGACCGACCGACCGACAGACAGACAGACAGACAGACACTTAGACACTTCTGGTGCTTGGTGACCCGTCATGCGGTTTGACGCCACTTGAAGCTTTTACCATTCAAGGGTGTGGTTACCAAGCCTTTCTTTGGCAGGCCACTGAGTGCACCATTCTCGTTGCAGGTGTCTACATGAAGACTGCTGTTAATCTCCAAAGTGAAACCAATGCCACCGTACTGGCAAGGCTCCTAGCCCTCATCGAGGCGACGAACCACCCCTATGTCCTCCTTGGTGACTGGCAAAACAGCCCCAGAAGCATCACCAGCACAGTGCTTCCCTCCAAATTCCACTTCGAGGTCCTCGCCCCTGACCATAGCATTCTCACTGGCAACGTGATCGACTACGCCCTCATGCACAACACTCTTGCTGGCGCCACTGCTTTAACAACTGACTGGGCAGTCCCATGGAGGCCCCACGCCCTCCTCACGCTCAATATCAACATTGAAGCAGCCACCAAAGAGTACCGGCAAATCCAATACTTCCCGCCCTTACCAGCCACACCTGACATTGGTTTCAGCCCCTGGACTACGTACCAATCCCAAGCCTTTGAGGTTGAGTTGTACGGCAACCCACCCAATGCCCTGGCACAAAAGTGGGCGGATTGGATTTCACGCGCGGAGCAATACCTGCTACAAGAACATCCATGGGCAGCCCAAGGCAGAGGAGCCAATCTACAAGTGGTCATTAAGCCACTTGTTCCCACCAAGACTGTAGCCACATGGAAAAAAGGGAAGCCGGCCAGACGCAGCCCAAAGGACCCACCAAGGGCTTCATGCTCGCCCTCCAGGATGCTCCCAAACACTGGATTGGTCCACCTACGTGGGGACAATTCCTCGACACCTGCCACCACTGGCACAAATACAGAGACACCCATGCCGCAGAGCTTGTCCAGCACACCATTGGCCATCAGCTTCATGAATCACAACAAGCAGCCAACGATGAAAGCCACCTCCAATACAAAGAATGGCTGAAGCAAGGACAAGCCAAGGGCCTGCGTGGCCTTTTCCGAAGTCCCAAAAGCAGTGAATTGGCGTGGGAGAGACCCTACAGGCAGTTACCACCTGATGAACGAATGGCTCAGCGGCTACAAGACTGGGGACAGCTATGGCAGGTCAGACGAGAAGACCAGCCATGGCCGACCCAACGTACAAGAGCAAGCCAAACAACAGGCGCAGCAGCTGGAACCCCTGACCATTGGTCAATTGGCTTGGGTGCTCAAACACCTCCTGACGAAGCCTGTGGACCCGATGCTGTGTTCGCGCAACTCCTGCGAACTGCACCGCCTCTTGCACTGCAACCACTCCTCAAGCTCTTTCAAGAGATGGAGGCCCAGGCTATGTTACCCACTCAGCAGCAAATGCACATGGTGGTGATGCTACCAAAGAACAGCATCAAAGAGAGGCCAATCACCTTAACCTCAGTGCTCTAAAGAGTATGGTGCAGACTCCGCAAAACTGTGCTAGACCTGGGGCACAAGTCCTGCAAGTAGCCCTTGAGAGACTACTCCGCCAAGAAGTGCACCGAGCCAATGGCAGACATGGGGTGACATGCCTCATGGATATGACCACATTCTACGACACCATCAACTTGACAAGGCTCAAACAGAAGCCCTCCAGCTCCAGTATCCTCCTCTGCTTCTGGAGCTAGCAATGCAGGTCTACACCGGGCCCAAAGCCATCGTAGCTGAGCAAGAGATGACTCCATTCTTCACCGTTCACAATGGAGTCCCTGCAGGTTGCCTTCTGGCACCTGCGCTCCGACCATGGAAAACACAACGCGCAGGAGTCTTCCTCTCCAGTTGGGTTGTTGACGTTGGATTCGATACTGCAGGTCAATCAAGCCTACAGAGATCTACAACAAAGACTCGTTGACCTAGGACTACAGGTCAATCCAAAAAAGACTGCCTTCATTGCTACCGACAAGGCCACCGACAGGGAACTCAGAGCTTTGCTCAAAGACAACGAACCACCGGTCGAACCAGTCATGAGAGATCTTGGAGTAGATCACCAGGCCGCTCGCAGGAGAAGAATTCCGGTCATGAAGCAGAGGCTCACAAAGGCCAGCGACCGAAAAATCAAACTGAAAGTCCTGAAGATACCAGCCCTCAAAGTGAGACTTCGCTTGCGTCGAGGTGGAATCCAACCTGTTGCACTATGGGGCATTGAGGGCCAAGGACTAGCGCCCAGATACCGCACGGCTTTGAGACAAGCCAGGCAAAGCACCTCGGACATCACAATGGAGGACTGCTCGACACCGCCAGCGCTACATTGATCCTGGGGATCAGATCATCGTTCACCACATCAAGGCCATCCACCAACTGGTCCAAGCCTGGCCAACAGAGCAGATCCCAGCCCTTGAATAAGCCTGGACAGCTACATACCAGCAACTCCAAACCAAGCAGTCTCCATGGTACACAGTCCGAGGCCCCATAGCAGCCACCTTCGTGTACCTTCAAGAATGGGGATGGCAGGCTTCAGAGCTCATGAGATGGACCCGGCGGAATCACCGCTACTTCTGGCAAACGAGCCCACCCTTCAACACCAATGGTGGAAGATTGAGCGGGCCCTGATCCAAGAAGCAAAACAGCAACGGACCAACAGACTTGCAAGCCGACCACACCATCAGGACCTCATCACAGGACTTGACTGGCGCACCTATCACCAGGTGAAGAAAACCTTGCCGCCGCAGCAAAAGAATCACCTTAACACGTGGGCGCAGGCAGCAGTCCAATACAGAGAAGCCACCAAAACCAAGCAGTGCCCGCTCTGCCATGTACCGGCCACACCCAAGCGCATCATCTGGCTCTGTCGATGGCACCGAAACCAGAAGCATGAACCCATGCCTCCAGAGTGGATGGACAGGCTCACATGCCAGGACGAGGAACCACTATACACGGCTGGGTGGATCCCACTTGAACCACAAGAGCAACGACGCCAGCAACAGCCATGGCTGCTGGACAGCTCTTGAGCCTCTTGCACCACAGCAACACCTTGGCTGGGCCTTTACCCTTGATGCCACGCCATCTTCATATGATGCGCGGAGTCAAATGTGGGTCTTCGGCCTATGTGTGCACACAATGTCCTTGGGTCAGCTCAAGCGATTGGGGGCCATCGCTGGGGTTCCACCAGGCGAACAAACGAAAGCTCGAGCACTGATTGCAGGATTGGTTGCGTTGGCAAGGCACACCAGTCAAAGTCATTGTGCAATTGACTACAGTCTGGGAAGCTTGGCACCAACCCAGAAGCAGAACCCCATTCCAAGACATCCTGGAGGACACTACCTCCCAAGGGTCACGGTCCTCTACATCAGCAGAAACACAAGAACACCAGACACCTGGAAACGAGCCCCAACTCCGACGAAGGCAAAGAGACTCAGCTTTAACAGCCTGGGAGCGGGCAAAGACTCTACAGGACCAGAGGCAGACGGACTGGCAAGACACCCTGGATCAGGACCATAAACTGATCTACCAGCATGCAGTGCAAAGACTTGCCAAAGTCTATGATGACCCTATGCATTACATCCACCAAAAAGCACCGCGGCACCAGGTAAACAAACCAAACAGCGCAAGAGAGACCTGGTGAACCAATGCCGCAAGGCCTGGAGTGACAACCATCATCGTTGGGAACCACATCGAAGCGGCTACCAACGCACGGCGTGCGGAACAAGGATGCACCAGGGTTTAACAGCCAGCGTCCTTGAAACCAGACTTCATGAAGATTGCCCACAAGTCCTCATTGAAGACGTCCGCAACACACCACCCACCCAGGCTGAGCCCTTGCCAAAGAAAACAACCAGGGCCCAGGTCATCAAAGATTTGCTGACCAAGCAAAAGGAGCACCAGCCGGATGCAGACGAACGCACCTTCACAAAAACAACAGGCTACCTCAAGTGCAATAAATGTGGAGTCAATATTAACAAACGTGTCAATGAAGCGGCCTTCCAAGAATTCCTCACCAGCCAATGTGTGGATCAGGCCTACGCTCACAAGCACGACGGCCATACCCACACCCTTTGGCAGAAAGGAGATCGAGTGAGATGCGCCCAATGTGGCACTCAATGGCATCTCGATGGTCACAAACGCATCATCACCACGCAAGCTCTCACCAAGCCTTGCAAAGGAGCAGGACTGAAAGGGCCCCCTCCTCTCAGCGAGTTCTTCAAGAAGAAAAGTGACGCAAACAGTCAACCAGAGGTTGAACACAAGCAACCCCGGCAGACTACAGAGCATGAGCCTGCAAGCAGCGCAAGGCCAGCGCCACGAAGGCTACACTTTCCCACAGCTCTCGATGAACGAGACGCGGAGTCCACAAGCCCACAAGATGACCAACAAGAGGCTCATGACGTGGAAAGCTCCGACACGGAGAGCCCAACCTACGCCCAGGTGGACTTCTTCTGAGCGAACGCTGAGAGGATAACCAGTGAGGCAAAGCTCTAGGCCACTGCCAAAGAGCCAGCACGTCAACTTTAGGATAAAAGACATACATACATACATACATACCATACCATACCATATCATACCATACCATACCATACCATACCATACCATACCATTACATTACATTACATTACATTACATTACAGACATTCATTACATACATACATACATACATACATACACACACACACACATACATACATACATACATACATACATACATACATACGCATATATATAAATATATTGATATAGGCCTACAAGCGTTAACAGTCAAAAAAACAAAACGTGGAAAGTAGATGATTTCAGTGTGCTCGGAGTGGTGCGCAGGGTGGTGCGCGGGTGGTGCGCGGGGGG